GCTCGCTGGGGACACTGCAGGGGCCGCGACCACGGACACCCTTGGGGTGGAGGTGGGGATTCAGGGCCCCGGTGTCCCCTGGGTCCCTGAAGCCTGGTAGCCATCAGCGGGGGCGTGCGTGGTGCTGCCGCCTGCCCACGTTTTGGCGTGGTGGCCAGGGCTCTCCTTCTAGGGCCTGTCCTGCTTCACTGCACACATCCAAGGGTCCTCTCCAGTTGGGATCTGTTTTTAAAAGGCTTGGTACCATGTCTTCCTACCCTGATACACTGAGAAATCCCATGTAAGTAAAACTACAGGCTTCCCTTCCAGCATCAGTGGTGATGGGATTCCAAGGAGTCAGAGCATGTCTGTGCAACTCACGTTTTGTCTGGAAGGGTTTTCTAACGACGGTACCAGCCTGGTTCTGTAGCTAGAAAGTAAACATCAGTCAATCCCATTACATGTAGAAAATTTTACCATTAACTGACTTGGATCAGGAGCTGAATGTGAAATCAGGCTCTAGATTTCAAGAAGGAGGTGCTCGTAGGAACACGGCGAAGCAGTAATGGCCAGAAGCGTCATCTGGTCGATCAGTTGCCCTCGGTGTCACCATGGCAGTGCAGGCCCCCGGCTCCGGCGTCTGTGCCGGAGCAGCACCGTGGTCCCGGCTCCTGGACGGGCAGCCAGCCTGCCACGGGACCCACCGTGCCGGCGCTCCCACAGCTGCTCCCTCCCATCGCTGCCACCAAAGCGTGTGGAGGCACGGGCGTTTCCAGCCGGGGCAAGTCCCTTGAGTGCACAGAGAATTAGTGGTAGATAGACCCACCACCACCCGCATTAGGAGTGATCCCAGTTTCTAAAATGCTTTTCCCAAGTTCTCTGTCCAAAGTGACTGAAGTCCTAGTCCCCTTGTACTGACCAACTTCCGTGTCCGCCTGTGGCTTTCCCGTGGGGCCACCTTGGACAAGCCTTGCTCTCTGTTCACACCCAGGGGTGGCGAGAAGACCCACACAGAGGGTCTTTGCTTCCTGAGGGTGCATCCATGGTGACAAAGTCTCGGTCCCACACACACTCACCCACACACTGAGATGCGGCGAGCGCACAGGCGGGAGGAGGGCGGAAGGTCAGGCTTGCTTCTTGACGCCCTTTGCGGGTTGCCGGTCCCAGACGTTGGGTGTGAGCCCTGTTTGGCCCGGTCCCTGCATTTGCTAAGACGGTTTCTAAGTAGGCGCCGCTTCCCGGACTGTCCTGGTGCTCCAGCTGACTTTAGCAGGAAGACCTCAAGTTCTGCCATGCTGCCTCGTTGTAGGTCTCAGGAGGGGGAAACTGCCTGAGAAGGTGAAGATCTCTCTTTCTTTATGAAATCAAAGTCGGAGGTCAGAAATACAGGGCATAAATACCGGGCCAGGCAATGATGTGGGGCTGCAGCCTCAGCCCTGCTGATACAGATACACTGATTCAGCCGCTGTCCCCTCCCCTTCCCCTGCCCCTACCATGGATAGAGCTAGTGGATGCAGTGCGGGTTCGTTGGTAGCAGAGAATCCCGTGGCTTCGTGAAGAATCTCTTTCTCTTCCCATGTAACCTGAGTGTGAGCCGCTGGGCCCCAGGCCTCCGGCCGCCCCGCAGTGGCTAGCCCCACGGGCAGTGCTCATTTCTGCTGTCGCCCGGTGGCTGGGAACGCGGCACGTGTCCAGCTCACACTCCTGTCCACACAGAACGTGGGGGAACAGGTGGAAGGGCAGGTGCAGAGGTAGGAGAGCATGAGGCCCAGACACAGAGGGCCCTGCTCAGCCGTGCTCAGGTTCTGCCGAGGTGACTGGGTGCTCGCTGCTTGCGTGGGCTTGCAGCAGAGCTGGTTTGGAGACAGAACACGGAAAAACAGTGCCCCTCGCTCTTTCTCCCCCTCCTTGTAAATAGGCCAGAGTGTGCACATCCCCGGTAGCCCAGAGCCGAGCTGCCTCAGCTGTCAGAGAGAGCACCTGGAACGAGTAACGTGCCGTCTAGTGACCGCAGTCCTTGGGTGGTGATGGAGAGGTTGCACTGTGAGCCACGGGAGGAAGGGAACAAAGCCGAGCCGAAATTGAGGCTAAAGCACAAAGTAATCTGCATTTGCTCTTGGCTTCAGGCAGGGCGCTGATGATGGGCGCTTGGCGCTGGCGCCTATGGAATATTTGATGTGAAGCCATCAGGGACGCATCCTCCTTCACTTTCGATTTCTGCAGGTCCTGAAAGCTCGCCTCTCTCCACAGTAAAAACCTGTGCTTTCTGTTCCCGTCGAGGGCGCCACTCCCGCAGAGCCATCGTGCAGATGGAGGCCACGTGCTCTTGGAAGGCGCCCCCGCCAGCCCCCTCCTTGGGCGGCTGCCATCCGAGGCCCGTTTCCTGAAAACCCGAGCTCTTGCCTGCATGGCACGTTTTCTGGGCAGTGACTCATCGAGCAGCCCACAGCGCAGGGAGCCTCTGCTCCACACCGCTCGGATCGGATCAGCTGGCCAGGCTGTCGCTGCGCCCCTCCCGCCGCAGTGCGGCCCCTTCGCGGGCTGTAGGAGGTGTGAACGCAGACACCCTCCCAGGTTGGCGCTTGCTGGGGCGCCAGAGCGCTCAGAGCCCAGCAGCCCACCGCCAGGGCCTCAGACTTCCCAGGACTCACGTTCCCACTCTCCCTGAGTGAGAACCCGAATTAAGACTCCAGGTTCATTTTGATCTTACCCTAGAAAATGCAGCCGATTTTAGGCAACTGATGAGATGCTGGCGGAGAGCACCAGTCTCGTGCTGCTGGGCTTTCATGGAGCTCAGGTCCCCTGAGCAGGCCCTTTCCCCTCATAAGTGCCAGGAGCCAGAGGCCTGGAGAGGATCACCGGCCTGCAGCAACTCCACGTTTGCTGGCCATCACCTTTGACCGTCAGGTGTCCCTAGGTCTTCAGTGTTCTCCTGAGTGCTGCCGTGTTCCGCACCATGGCCCAAGTCCCCTTTCTCTTGCACTCAGACAGCTGTGCCCATCTGTCCATGGCCCAGAGCAGCTTCTCTGCCTTGCTCCCAGCGAGCTCAGTGGCTCCCCTGTCCCAGGGCTCCCTACCATGTTTGCACCCCCCAGAGTCCCTGTGAACAAAGGAAACTTCCCGGGCTGCTTGATGACTCGGTCCCTGAGGGAGGGACCAGCCCTCGCCTCTGGAGCTGTCGGGCCAGCTGGGGCTGATGCAGAGCATGCTCTCGGGGAGGACTGTCGCCCCCTTCGGCCCTGATGGGGCTCCATGGGCTTTCACTCTTTGGAGGGACTTGGGGGAGGGGGGCATCAGGAGACCGCCTGGCGGCCTCTCCCAGTGCAGCCTGGATCCCCCAATATTCTGTCCAGAACACCCAGCCGGGACCACGGACAGCTGCCAGCGACACCCAGCCAGGACCACGGACAGCTGCCAGCGACACCCAGCCAGGACCACGGACAGCTGCCAGGGAGAGGGACGCATTTTCACTGCAGGCTGCTTCTTGCCTCTTGATCTTGTGGACTGGGGCTGAGAGGACATGCCACCGGCTCTCCTCTCCGCTAGGGTCTGGTCATAGGCGCACCCATAGCCGCTGTAGCTGACCACTGGGGCCCGGAGCCAGGCTTCGCGGCCAGTGCCGTGGACGCCCCCCCCCGCGCCCAGCTTGTGCACACTTCCGTCCACCTCTTGAAGTTCAGAGTTTTTATTAAAGTCAAGGATGTTTGTAGAGTTTAATTGCAGTAGTTGACTCTGCTTCTGTGTGACGAAGAACTGGTATCTCCCTCCGTGCTGCTGAAGAACCGCGTCGCCTGCGGCCTGGGCACTTACTGACCATACGGGAACCAGTTATCGCCTGTTTTTTGAGGCACTTTTGATTACGCGCTGATTGCCTCTTAATTAGGTTGGTGGGGGAAAGGCGCACTCGTTCAGTCTGGGCGGGACAGCTGGACTGCATTCCGCGTATTTCAGTAATGACAGAGAGCCCCGTAGGCTTTCGTTTGTCTTTCACGTTTCCTGTGTTTCTGGCTGTTGACTTTTTTCGTTCCCAGTGTGGTCGTCTCCGGGGACGTGGAGAAATGGAGCCACTTGTCTCATAATCCCGCCTCTCGGGAACTTCCCTGGGAGGAGAGGTGGCCGTGCTGAAAGCCGGATCCGTGCGCTGATCCCCATTTTGTCTCCATGAACAAGGGAAGGGGCAGAGCAGGGGCGAAGGATCTGCCGTGTCCATGGCTTCCATCTGTGGCTGTAGAGAAAGGGAGATGATCATTGCGTCAATTTAGAACTAACATTGAATGCCGTGAGCATTCCCCTCCCATCAGTGCCCCCGCCAGCATGCCTGCTACCCCACGTCTCCCAGGGACCCTGCAAGCGTGCACGATTGTTAACCCTTACAGATGGGGAAATGGATTCCGGGGAGCCAGACCCCAGAGCCAGGCCAGCAGGTGCACTCACCATTTTGTACATGTTAGGAGCCAGGTCCTGATGCCTTGAAAGGGGGTGGCGAGGTGGCCAGGGTCACACAAGGGAGACACTTGCTGTGCCCTCAAACAAGCACTGCCTGCCTCATCCCTGAGTGGCGCATGTTGGCAGAGGTCTGGGGCTCTGTGCTGAGGAGGGTGGTGGCACAGGCCAGTCCTGACTCTGGGCAGGACGGGGCGCTGCTCAGGATGGGTGTCCACAGACGGACCCGCCTTCTCCTGGCGCCGTACTGGCCATTCCTGATGAAGCACGTGGAGTGTTTGTGTGTGCCACTGCCACTGTCTACCAGCGATGCCACGGCTGCTCTGTGGGTGTGGACAGGCTATCTCAATCCAGTGTGGGGCTGAAACTACAGTGCAAAGTGAGGCAAACCCCTTTATTTTTCCCAAGCTCTTGTGTAAATTTGAAGAGGAACGATGTTAACAAACAGAGTAGCTCTAGCGGGCTGCCAGACGTCTTCCTGCTTCTGAGGACCCATGGCCATGGCTGTGCGCAGACGCAGCCAGGGCCCCTCCCGGAGAAGCGGTCAGTGAGGTGGGTGTCCCTCTGTTCTCTCGCAGGCAAGCCTGGGACCTCGCCGTCGACATCTGCCTCTCGCAGCTGCCCACCATCATTGAGGAAGGCACCGCATTTCGGGTGAGTCCTACAAAGGGCATCATGTGGTCCACTGGGGGGTGGGGGGGCTCCGTCCCTGGGCACCTGGTCCGCAGAACCCCCAGATGCTGCGTTGTCAGATTTCCTTCGCCTGCCTGGGAAAAGGTGCAGTTAGCAGAAGTTTGAAAGATTACATCAACCAGGGGTTCAGGATTTTGAATGGCAAGCTCTCAAGAGATGTCATCTTTTAAAATGATGTTCTTGTCAATCTGCTTTCCTTAATGCACGCTCCCTGACCCTGCGTTCCGGGCTCTGCCTTTTAACTGGAATGGATTATGGTTTTCCCCAGACTCCTGACTGGAGCCTGAGGGTGTAAAGCTCAGCCCTGCAGGAACATCCAGTCCCCAGGCCACCCAGCCAGGGGACTGACTCACCAGGGGTCGCACAGCCCCTCACCAAGTGCCCCCCCTTGCTCCGACGGCTGCGCGGCCTTGGTGTCTTCAGTCAGGACTCATGTATGGAGTGTGAGCGCGTGTGCCCCAGACCCAGCTGCCCCCTCGAGAGCCCTGAGGAAGGAGGAGAGTCACTCACATCTGTGCATATGCTTCCTCTGACCCCCAAGGGTCAGGGAGGCTTCCATGTTTGAGAGGGCCAGGGCAGTGGAGCGAAGTGGCCTAGGCCATGGAGGGTGGGGCAGAGGGTCGGAGCCGCTGGCCTTCTCTCCCCACACCTTCATCTCTGACCCTGCCCAAGACTATAGGGGCAAGCTGGCTGCCTGGCGCCTCAGTTTCCTCGTGTTCCAGGGGAGTCGGGCTGGTGTGCCACTAACGGGGCACAGGAGGACTGAAGGAGTTGATACAGGCCAAGTGCTCACGTCAGGCGTGGGGGGTACACGTATGTGTGCACATGTGTGAAGTGTGTCTCTGTGGCGTGTCTGTGTACATGGTGCTCGTGCGTGTGCGCGCGTGCATATCTGTGTGGTATGTGTGTGTACACATAACTGCTCAGATGATCTCGATGCCCCCAGTGGGGGTGATGAGCTGAGAGGCCTCCCTCTCTTTTTCTCCTGTTTCCTCCCTCTGTATTCCTTGACATTTTTCACATTTCACATTCTGAAAACTTGCAGGCTACAAACTGCCATAAGAGGACCGCACAGTGAGCACCACATGTGCGGCACTTGCTGGAGCGCATCTATCTCTCCCTCCAGCTGCCTTTTTGGGTTTTTTGGTTTGTTTGTTTTTTTTAACGTGCTCGCAAGTTTCGCCGCAGAAACTTGCATTTTAAACCCTGAAGAGGAAGCTGACAGAGCCTTCACCCGGCCCACACCAGTGTGCTTGGCGTCCGCCGAGGGTGCCCTTCCCACTGGAGCTAAGCTCTGAGGCAGGGACCAGGCTGGAGCAGTCTCAGGACTCCGTAGGGACAGCGGAGGCCACCGCAGCTGGGTGGCCCTCCCCAGTGCCTCAGCTCACCAGTGGAGGTCAGGGCCTGTCGCCACAAGCACGTTTGGAAAACCTGATACGCTTTTGGCTTTTTCTACAGCGTATGGTTTTACTTTGCACCCTTAGGGTGTCAGAGCTATACACTGGCGTGGCGAACGGCACAGGCTCCGTGTTGTTACCATCTGCTCCAGTGCCAGGTGTGTTTCCGGGGAGCTCACTACTTCGTTTCTAATCTGCTGGAATCAGTATTCTGCATGTGGGAATCATTTCACCCAGATTGTGACAGGGAGGGGGAACTGATGTAGACCACATGCTAGCGCTTTTATTCTGTTTTCACTTTTTCGGGAGCAGAACGTACACAGAGAAAATTGCACACCGTAAATGTGCGGCTTGAGGAGTTTTTATAAGATGAACACACTTGAGTAACCAGGCACCCAAGTCAGGCGGCCCCCAGGAACCCCTTCCTGTTGCTTCCACTGCTTTCCCCGAGGAACTACTCTCTTGCCTGCTTTTGTGCACTTGGATAACAGAATGCGGCGGGATGTGGCCTCTGCGTGTGACTGCTTTCACTCCGCGGTACGTCTGCCCCCGCGGTTGCAGCTCTCCCGCGGCCACGTGCCCCCCTCTGGCCAGAAGACACTCTGAGTCACCGGCTTGCGGTCCTCACAGGTGGTGCCGGCCGGGACCAAGCCGAGTCACTGGAGCCTGAGGCAAAGGAGAAATCAGTAATTCTGAGCTGTCTTCGTTTGAAATTTTGATATTTTGTTCATTATGGGTTTCCACTTTTTTTAAAATATTGCCTTAAAGTGTTTTTTAGCCTCAATTACTGAGTTTTTCGGTGCTCCTGTGAGTTTTGTTCGTGAGGTGAAAGCTTCCTTTGCTGCAGCCTGGCCCAGCCTTGCCCGGCGCAGCTAATTTCTCATTAGTTAATTGACTTCTTATGAGGGAGTGAAATCCTGGTCCCCAGACATGCGTGTGGTTGGCTTCAGTACTCGCCGGCAGACGGCGTTCCGAAGGGCCCGGGTCCGTTCACGCTCCTACCCGCAGCTCGTGGGTGTTTCCGTCGCCCGACATCCTTGTAAAGACTTGACCTGTTCTACCCTTTTCTCCCCGTTTGGCTATTCCGGCTCGCTGTGAGGAGGCGTCCCGCCGAGATTGCATCTTGTAGCTCCCTCCCTGACCGTCAGCCCTGCCGGGCGCCGTTTTGCGCTCTCATTGGCCATCTGAATGTCCTCTTCTGTAAACCGCCTGATCAAGTGTGTTGATTTTTCCTTTATGTTCGGTGTCGCCTACTGACTTGCGGTGACTGTGTGTATCTTTGAATACAAAGCCTTTGTCACTCGTGGTAAATATCTTTCCTTTTTTTTTTTCCCCTTTCTTTGTATTTTCACTTCTTCCGTGTTTTGTTTTGTTTTTTTTCTTAAACAGAAGCTTCTTGTTTTAACATAATCCCGTTTGCCAGTTTTTCCCTCTTGCTTAAGACTTCTGGCTTCCTGTTTAAGGAATGTTTACTTTGAGACGAACACCCCTGAGCAGGTGTTCTCCTCTTTTTCTTCCGGAGGCTGGATTGTTTTACTTTTACCCTCAGACCTGCAGTTCGTCTGGGATTTACTCGTGTGGATGGCGTGAGGTAGGGCTCAAGTGCACGTTTCCACACACGGATGTTCCGTTTGCCCGGTGCTGTTTTTGTTTTTGTTTTGTTTTTTAAAGATTTTATTTATTTATTTATTTATTTATTTGACAGAGATCACAAGTAGGCAGAGAGGCGGGGGGGGGGGCGGGCTCCCCGCCAAGCAGAGAGCCCGATGCGTGGCTTGATCCCAGGACCCCGAGATCATGACCTGAGCCGAAGGCAGAGGCCTTAACCCACTGAGCCACCCAGGCGCCCTGCCCGGTGCTGTTTACCTCGAATCAGGCAGTTGTCTTCGTGGGGGCGCTTCTGGGTTCTCTGTTCTGCCCCGCAGGTCACTTTGTCCTTGCACAGGTACTGAGCGTGCTTGATCATGAAAACAGCTTTGACGGGGATTACACAGACCCGTCGGCGGGGTTGGGGGGCGCCTCTGCAGTGTTGAGTCTCCCCCCGTCAGCATGACTGCACACGGTATCTTCCGGAATTCCCTTTACGGGTTTTCTGTGTATACATAGGGCTTATCGGTGATTTTGTGCAGCAGCTTTACTAGATTCATGACTTTGTTCTAATACTTTCCCTGTAAATTACTGGCTTTGTCTTAAAACCTCCCTGTCAGATACCCCAAAACAAAGCCCAGCATGTGTGTCACTTTCCCAAGGTCAGCGGTCGAGGATGGATTCTAGTCAGCAGCGGAAAGGTGCCCGATGAGAGTCAGCATTTGCCGGCATAGGGAGAGGGGAGGAGCCTTTGCACGTAGTGGGAAGTGTGGATAACGGACTTTCTTGAGGGGCTCAAAGAGCCTTCTGCAGGGGGCTGGAGTCCAAACACCGCGGCAACTGCGGTTCTCCTTTGTCTCCTCTTTTAAGTGCTGAGGTCACCGCGAGGAGCGAATCGGTCCCCGTGTGGTCAGGAAGGCACCAGGCAGTGTAGGTGTGTCTGGACCCAGGATGGCAAGTGGGAATAGGAAGAAGGACGCAGACATTAACCACTTCCTCTCCCACAGCAATGACAGCAAAAGGCCTTCTGGGTCCCCCGTGGTCAAGTGCAGCTCTTCGTGCCCATCTGCCCCACCCCCCACTTTCCACCCTTTCCCCGCAAAAGGCCTTCTGGGTCCCCCGTGGTCAAGTGCAGCTCTTCGTGCCCATCTGCCCCACCCCCCACTTTCCACCCTTTCCCCTTGTGCCTGTTTTCAGGCCGCTGGACCATCTGACCCGTGGCCTGACCACGGAGCAGCCCACTTGGCCTCAGAATTGTCCTGGGAGGCCGTGGACACACGGCCCGGTGACTCAGAGCCTCCGCCCAGGTCTGTGTGAGCTGTCCTCCAGAACGCCCCTCTCTGGGCTCCGATTTCCCCAAAATCAGCACAGAGCTCAGACGCAGTGGAGGTGATCTTGGAGGTCTGGCCCAGAACCCCAGCTCCGAGCCATCGATAGATGCACGTGGGGCCGCTCTCACAGTGTTCTGTGGAGCGTTATTTGGAACGCTGAGCCCCGCCTGTGTTGGGGGCCGCCCTCGTCTGTCCGCTTCCCCACACTGTAAGCACAGCAAACCTCTCTGCGTGTTGTGGTGGCGGAGGCTCTCCCTTTGACAGTTTTGTGTAAGAGAGGAGGAATGCTTGTCCTCTCTGCATGGAACAGTTTTCCAGCCAGAAGCAACATACGAACAAACATAATTCAGAAACTAACTTGGAAGGAAGGGAAAGGAGCCAGAATGATGTGAATGACCCGAGCGTCCCTCAGGGACCAGCGGTCTCCCCCGCGTGGGGAGGGAGAGCGTAACAAGGCTGCTGTTTTTAATCAATTTGTGATTAATTCACACTTAAAGACAGGAAAGCCAGTTTGGGGCTCCATCCCTGTCCGCAGGCCGCCCCCCAGGTTTGGTTCACGCGATGCCAGCTGACGTCGCGGGAGCACGGGTGCGCCAGGGTGGAGCTCATTCGGAATGGCGGGTCCCTCACTAACGCGCCCTGCCTGTCCCACAGCACAGTCCGTTCTTCGCGGAGCAGCTGACCGCCTTCCAGGTGTGGCTCACGATGGGCGTGGAGAACCGGAGCCCGCCCGAGCAGCTTCCCATCGTCCTGCAGGTGAGCGCCTTCCAGCAAAGGAGCCGGAGCCCGGGATGTGTGTGTGGGTGTGCGAGGCCCGTGGCTGTGCCCTCGGCCAGGTGGCTCTTGGGGCACACCAGTCAGGTCCCTCAGAAGTCGCTTGGTCCCCCCGTGGACTTACTCCAGAAGGGCCTTTCTGGGGACGTCTGAGTCCCCTCCCCACTCTCACCTGAACACCGATCTGGGTTGCCGTCAGCCGCCCTTCCAGGGGACCCGGGAACGCTGCAGCGAATGTGCTCCATGCCGTCGGCTCTTCTGTTTGGAAGGGCGTGAGCTGCAGACCCCCCGGGGGAAGGGGCAGGAGCCGTGAGCACATCACAGACGGCCCTCGTGGCCCCTCGCCAGGCGCCCGTGGACTGCGGGCAGCCTGGACCCAAAGCCCCGTCCTCCCTTGCGTGGAGGCCCGTGCCAGCCCCTCGCGTGGCCTGTGTCCATGCTCACGGAGGCCGCGGCCCACTAGTGGCTGGGAAGCTCAGTGTCGTGGCTCTCATTCGGCTGATTTATTTGGCTGAAGAGGTCAGACAGGAGAGGGTGGCAGAGTGCCAGCGTTCCTCCCAGGTGGGAAGAGGAGAACGTTTTCCCAGAAGTGTGTCGGTGAGGCTGTGTCTGTGGGGGAGGCACGGTCGACCGCCTTGGGGTCCGCCGCACCGCAGGCCCTGGAGACCATTTGCTGGCCATAGAACCGAGGTTTCACCGTGTCCAGGCCTATGTGCCGGGGCCCTCAGGTGGCAGAGGGGGCTGGGAGGATGGGTGCTGGAAGTGTGGTAGGCATGCCGCAGAGGCGAGCAGGGGTCCGGAGTAGCCACGGGACCGGTCTCGGCTCCGTGTGCATTATGGCTGAGCAGAGATCGCTAGCTTCCAGATTACTGGGGACTACCTCGAGTTCGCAGGGTGAGTGGTAAACAAACACATTTTCGAAGCCAAAACAAATAAGAAGAAAGAGAATCTGTCGTAAGGACGAGACACGGCTGACCGTGTGGTGGCTGCCAGCACTCCCTCCCTCGGCGTGTGCCCGCGGTGGCCGGCTGTGAACGGGCACATTTCCAGCGGCGGCCGTGGCACAGGTGGGACACACTGGGCTCCAGCCCTCCTGGGTCACCAGCATGTTCACCTGTGAGGGTCCCACTGACCTTCCTGTGATTTCCACAGGGCGGCCGAGTGACATCCGTCCTTTCCAAAGCGGGGATGTGATGCCGAGCCCAGGAAGTCAGATCCGGCTTCGGCAAACAGGCCTGCTGCGCGTGGCCTGCTGTTGACCTTTCTTTTTAATGTTCCCTTTATAATCCACACTCCCTTGGGGAAAGAGAGGCCTCGATAGATCCAACTTGCCAGTGCCGAAGGGAGGGGCAGCGCCCGGCAAGAGCGGAGGGGAGACGCTGTGTGTGATCCCTCAACCAGCCGGAAGCAGCGGGCTCTGCGTCATCCTGGCAGGTGGTCTCCTGGGCTGTGCCTAGCCTGGATCGATGCGGGGACCTTTCCTTAACAAGCAGGGAAGGACGGAGCGTAGACGGCACCGGCTTCGTGTGCTGGAGCGCGTGGGGTCGGCCTCCCTCTCATTAGTTCCGTTAACTTCACCCTGCTTTCTCTTGAGGAGGTTTATTTTTGCCAAAGCCTGGACCCCGTCACCCCTAAGTTATCCTCCAGGGCCTTGGCAAGTCAGAAAGTATTGCTTAAGGAAGGAGAATTTTAATGCAGACTCTGTGGCTTTTCCAATCCCTGCTACTTTTCCCACGAGCCAGAGGGAATTTTCTGTGCCCGAAGACGCAGAGGCTTTAGCTGATGACCTTCAGAGTCAAACGAAGTGTCTTCTCAGGCCACCTGATTGGCAGTCCCTCCTGTCAATGAGAGCTTGGAAGTAACTTTCCCTGACCAGCCCCGGGGTCTTTTCTTGCCTCTTAGAAGAATAAACAGAAGGAGTAGGAAGGAAGGAAGTCTCTCTGTCCCCACAGCACCACAAGGGGAGGGGCTCGCGGTCTCGCAGTGGACGTGACATCGTTGTCTGCCCCCTCGGATGGCCAGGGCCGCAGAGAAGCCCCAGATGGGGAGGGAAGGACCCGCGTGTTGTCAGAGGGAGAGAAGAAGGGGTGTCGCGGGCCGCCTTTGATCGTGGGCAGACTGCGTCCGCACTCCCAAACCCAGTCTCCGGGCCCGGCTCAGCCTGGGTCGCCTGGAAAGTAGCCCCTCGGGCAGCTTGGTTTCCTTTAGAACAAAGACAGGCCGTGAGTGGCCTGTGAACAAGGAGGTGTCCCGAGCTGCGTGCCTGCGCCGTGAGGCCAGTGTCCAGGACGCACCCTCGCGGGGGACGGCATGTACCGAGCACTGCCGCGGGCCTTGTCTCACTCAGGTTTGGAAATGAGCGTGAGTCCTGTGTGGCCGCTGCCCCTCTGCGGCTGAGAACACAGAAGGCTACGGAGGTTACGAGCTCTCAGCTGCACCGTCAGGGAATGACAGGACGAAAGCCAAGCCTGCGCGGCCCCGAAGCCCACGCCTTCCCGCCCACGGCGCCCCCCTGACCCGAGTGTGTGGCAGCAGTGGCACGTGCTAGCCACGAGTTCAGTGGGGGGGTCGGGTCCCCCATCACCTCTCTGGTTCCTGTTCAGAGACTCAGCACCCCTGGGTAACCGCACCTGCCTGGAGGTGGAGGCGTGGACGTGGGTCTGGGGCAGGTGCTGGCAAGGAAAGATGGCATTCCAGGGGCCGTGGCCAGCGGCTGCTTCTCCTGCACGCTTCCCGGGCCCTGGGCTGCCTGTCCTTCTCGGGACCCCTCCCCACCTCTCCCTCTGGCCCGTGTTTACCCCTCACGGGAGCCCCGGCTGCCCCATCTCCTCACCCCACTCCGTTCCACTCTGCTTCGCTCTGCGTCCTCACCCGACCCCAACACGATCCACACCCTGTGCCCAGGGGTCGTCTTCCCGGTCCTGCTACCAACTGTAGGAGCAGGTGACACCATGGGAGCCCTCTCTCCCTCACCGATGCCTCCACCCAGCTTCTCCTCCGCCAGGAGCACCACCCCGGGATGGCACACCTGGCCGCCCTCGCCGGCCGGTCCTCCCGTCCTTCTCTGGCCTCGTTCCCAACCTTCTCTTCCAGAGTCTCCTTCCCCGAACCGCCTTCTTGCTCAGCCAGCAGGTCCTATGGGCACGTCCCCAGTGGTCTTGGGTCTCTTCCTCCCCATCAGTCGGGGTCACATCCACCCCATTCCTCCCCTGATCCAGCTCTAGCCAGTCCCTCCCCCCAGCAACCACATTGGATGGCTCACCGGAAACCCCCAGCCTGGGACCAGTCTTCAGACACCCCAAGCTTTCCCTTCCCCTCTGCCCGCTGCCCGGGAACCCCACCTCCCCCCGGGATCTGCCCGCACCCCAGGTTGGGGGCTCGTATGATTCGCAGCCTTGCCCACCGTCACAGAGGATCGTTGCCGTCTGTCTGTCCCTGCAGCTGAGCCATGGTGAGAGGGGGCTCCCCGCCGTCCCCATGCGCCCTACAAGCGCCCACTGGGTGGCTGGGGGCAACAGCAGACCGAAGGCTCCTGCAGGGTCTCCGCAGCCTCAGGTGTAAAGACAAGGAGGGACAAGTGGGTATAAGTGCCCGTAGAGGTGTTGAACGCTGACAGAACAGAGCCGGGGAAAGACGGGGCGAGGGTCGCGCGCTCTGAAGAGCTCTGCCGCACCAGTAAGGGAAAGCCAGCACTTGAGTAGGAAAGTCAGGACATGTGTGTCACCTGGGCAATGGGCCACTAGCCCGCGACAGAGGCTAATCAGCCTCACTTCCAGTCAAGGAAGTTCCGGGCCAAAGGCTGTTTTTACCTGTCTTTACCGAATCGGCATGGGCTTCCGGTGCCCAGCAGCTCTCAATCCGGTGTCTAATAAAACCGCCAGGGGTCCGTTTCGTGTTGTCCTTTCCTGTGAATTAAGAAATTGAGGTTCAGACAAGGAAGTCATTTGCCCGAGTTCACGTAACCGGAGAAGACACAGCAAGCCCTCGTGTCAAAGCCACGGTGTTTTATTTAGTTCTAAGAAGAGATGAGGAGTGCAGTGATAGATGATGATGATGATGATAATCTAGTTTCAATGTAGTTTAAAAGGATTTGTTCTGATACTTTCAACAGGGCACATGTTTTAGCTGTTGAGGAAAAACTCAGAAGTGCGGAGAAAGCAGCACCTGCCGCGGGTGAAGGACGGCGTGAAGCCGGGCAGGTGTGAGCCCGCTCGGCCGGCTCCAGGGCCTGGCACGTGGCACGGGGCTCCTCGGTGACCCGTCCTCTTCCTCTTCCTCAGGTGCTGCTGAGCCAGGTGCACCGGCTGAGAGCCCTGGACCTGCTGGGACGCTTCCTGGACCTGGGACCCTGGGCGGTGAGCCTGGTACGTGCGGGGCCGGCAGGACTCCCAGGTGTGGGCGGGGGACAAGCCTCACTGCCTGGGAGTGACCTGTCACCGGAGGGGGCCTGTGTAGGGGGCAGGCCCTCGAGGAGCACGCGCCGTGCGGCCTCTGTCCCCGCAGCGTTCCGGGCTTCACACGTGCTCTGCCCTCTCTTCCCGCCATGAGGCTTCACCTCTGTGGACAGAAAGTGGTTCACCCCTGCTCACCCCTGCCTGAGCCGAGAAGCGGGGTGCCCCTGTACCGGCCGAGTGCCGAGCACACACCCGTGCACCGACTTTACACTCTGGGGCTCAGCACACCCAGAAACACTTTGCTGCTGACTCATTCTGCGAAAGAGTGGGACCAGCCATTTATTTATTTATTTATTTATTTATTTATTTATTTATTTAAGATTTTATTTATTTATTTGACAGAGAGATCACAAGCAGGCAGAGAGGCAGGCAGAGAGAGAGGAGGAAGCAGGCTCCCCTAGAGAGCAGAGATTGTGCCTGTTTTCAGGCCGCTGGACCATCTGACCCGTGGCCTGACCACGGAGCAGCCCACTTGGCCTCAGAATTGTCCTGGGAGGCCGTGGACACACGGCCCGGTGACTCAGAGCCTCCGCCCAGGTCTGTGTGAGCTGTCCTCCAGAACGCCCCTCTCTGGGCTCCGATTTCCCCAAAATCAGCACAGAGCTCAGACGCAGTGGAGGTGATCTTGGAGGTCTGGCCCAGAACCCCAGCTCCGAGCCATCGATAGATGCACGTGGGGCCGCTCTCACAGTGTTCTGTGGAGCGTTATTTGGAACGCTGAGCCCCGCCTGTGTTGGGGGCCGCCCTCGTCTGTCCGCTTCCCCACACTGTAAGCACAGCAAACCTCTCTGCGTGTTGTGGTGGCGGAGGCTCTCCCTTTGACAGTTTTGTGTAAGAGAGGAGGAATGCTTGTCCTCTCTGCATGGAACAGTTTTCCAGCCAGAAGCAACATACGAACAAACATAATTCAGAAACTAACTTGGAAGGAAGGGAAAGGAGCCAGAATGATGTGAATGACCCGAGCGTCCCTCAGGGACCAGCGGTCTCCCCCGCGTGGGGAGGGAGAGCGTAACAAGGCTGCTGTTTTTAATCAATTTGTGATTAATTCACACTTAAAGACAGGAAAGCCAGTTTGGGGCTCCATCCCTGTCCGCAGGCCGCCCCCCAGGTTTGGTTCACGCGATGCCAGCTGACGTCGCGGGAGCACGGGTGCGCCAGGGTGGAGCTCATTCGGAATGGCGGGTCCCTCACTAACGCGCCCTGCCTGTCCCACAGCACAGTCCGTTCTTCGCGGAGCAGCTGACCGCCTTCCAGGTGTGGCTCACGATGGGCGTGGAGAACCGGAGCCCGCCCGAGCAGCTTCCCATCGTCCTGCAGGTGAGCGCCTTCCAGCAAAGGAGCCGGAGCCCGGGATGTGTGTGTGGGTGTGCGAGGCCCGTGGCTGTGCCCTCGGCCAGGTGGCTCTTGGGGCACACCAGTCAGGTCCCTCAGAAGTCGCTTGGTCCCCCCGTGGACTTACTCCAGAAGGGCCTTTCTGGGGACGTCTGAGTCCCCTCCCCACTCTCACCTGAACACCGATCTGGGTTGCCGTCAGCCGCCCTTCCAGGGGACCCGGGAACGCTGCAGCGAATGTGCTCCATGCCGTCGGCTCTTCTGTTTGGAAGGGCGTGAGCTGCAGACCCCCCGGGGGAAGGGGCAGGAGCCGTGAGCACATCACAGACGGCCCTCGTGGCCCCTCGCCAGGCGCCCGTGGACTGCGGGCAGCCTGGACCCAAAGCCCCGTCCTCCCTTGCGTGGAGGCCCGTGCCAGCCCCTCGCGTGGCCTGTGTCCATGCTCACGGAGGCCGCGGCCCACTAGTGGCTGGGAAGCTCAGTGTCGTGGCTCTCATTCGGCTGATTTATTTGGCTGAAGAGGTCAGACAGGAGAGGGTGGCAGAGTGCCAGCGTTCCTCCCAGGTGGGAAGAGGAGAACGTTTTCCCAGAAGTGTGTCGGTGAGGCTGTGTCTGTGGGGGAGGCACGGTCGACCGCCTTGGGGTCCGCCGCACCGCAGGCCCTGGAGACCATTTGCTGGCCATAGAACCGAGGTTTCACCGTGTCCAGGCCTATGTGCCGGGGCCCTCAGGTGGCAGAGGGGGCTGGGAGGATGGGTGCTGGAAGTGTGGTAGGCATGCCGCAGAGGCGAGCAGGGGTCCGGAGTAGCCACGGGACCGGTCTCGGCTCCGTGTGCATTATGGCTGAGCAGAGATCGCTAGCTTCCAGATTACTGGGGACTACCTCGAGTTCGCAGGGTGAGTGGTAAACAAACACATTTTCGAAGCCAAAACAAATAAGAAGAAAGAGAATCTGTCGTAAGGACGAGACACGGCTGACCGTGTGGTGGCTGCCAGCACTCCCTCCCTCGGCGTGTGCCCGCGGTGGCCGGCTGTGAACGGGCACATTTCCAGCGGCGGCCGTGGCACAGGTGGGACACACTGGGCTCCAGCCCTCCTGGGTCACCAGCATGTTCACCTGTGAGGGTCCCACTGACCTTCCTGTGATTTCCACAGGGCGGCCGAGTGACATCCGTCCTTTCCAAAGCGGGGATGTGATGCCGAGCCCAGGAAGTCAGATCCGGCTTCGGCAAACAGGCCTGCTGCGCGTGGCCTGCTGTTGACCTTTCTTTTTAATGTTCCCTTTATAATCCACACTCCCTTGGGGAAAGAGAGGCCTCGATAGATCCAACTTGCCAGTGCCGAAGGGAGGGGCAGCGCCCGGCAAGAGCGGAGGGGAGACGCTGTGTGTGATCCCTCAACCAGCCGGAAGCAGCGGGCTCTGCGTCATCCTGGCAGGTGGTCTCCTGGGCTGTGCCTAGCCTGGATCGATGCGGGGACCTTTCCTTAACAAGCAGGGAAGGACGGAGCGTAGACGGCACCGGCTTCGTGTGCTGGAGCGCGTGGGGTCGGCCTCCCTCTCATTAGTTCCGTTAACTTCACCCTGCTTTCTCTTGAGGAGGTTTATTTTTGCCAAAGCCTGGACCCCGTCACCCCTAAGTTATCCTCCAGGGCCTTGGCAAGTCAGAAAGTATTGCTTAAGGAAGGAGAATTTTAATGCAGACTCTGTGGCTTTTCCAATCCCTGCTACTTTTCCCACGAGCCAGAGGGAATTTTCTGTGCCCGAAGACGCAGAGGCTTTAGCTGATGACCTTCAGAGTCAAACGAAGTGTCTTCTCAGGCCACCTGATTGGCAGTCCCTCCTGTCAATGAGAGCTTGGAAGTAACTTTCCCTGACCAGCCCCGGGGTCTTTTCTTGCCTCTTAGAAGAATAAACAGAAGGAGTAGGAAGGAAGGAAGTCTCTCTGTCCCCACAGCACCACAAGGGGAGGGGCTCGCGGTCTCGCAGTGGACGTGACATCGTTGTCTGCCCCCTCGGATGGCCAGGGCCGCAGAGAAGCCCCAGATGGGGAGGGAAGGACCCGCGTGTTGTCAGAGGGAGAGAAGAAGGGGTGTCGCGGGCCGCCTTTGATCGTGGGCAGACTGCGTCCGCACTCCCAAACCCAGTCTCCGGGCCCGGCTCAGCCTGGGTCGCCTGGAAAGTAGCCCCTCGGGCAGCTTGGTTTCCTTTAGAACAAAGACAGGCCGTGAGTGGCCTGTGAACAAGGAGGTGTCCCGAGCTGCGTGCCTGCGCCGTGAGGCCAGTGTCCAGGACGCACCCTCGCGGGGGACGGCATGTACCGAGCACTGCCGCGGGCCTTGTCTCACTCAGGTTTGGAAATGAGCGTGAGTCCTGTGTGGCCGCTGCCCCTCTGCGGCTGAGAACACAGAAGGCTACGGAGGTTACGAGCTCTCAGCTGCACCGTCAGGGAATGACAGGACGAAAGCCAAGCCTGCGCGGCCCCGAAGCCCACGCCTTCCCGCCCACGGCGCCCCCCTGACCCGAGTGTGTGGCAGCAGTGGCACGTGCTAGCCACGAGTTCAGTGGGGGGGTCGGGTCCCCCATCACCTCTCTGGTTCCTGTTCAGAGACTCAGCACCCCTGGGTAACCGCACCTGCCTGGAGGTGGAGGCGTGGACGTGGGTCTGGGGCAGGTGCTGGCAAGGAAAGATGGCATTCCAGGGGCCGTGGCCAGCGGCTGCTTCTCCTGCACGCTTCCCGGGCCCTGGGCTGCCTGTCCTTCTCGGGACCCCTCCCCACCTCTCCCTCTGGCCCGTGTTTACCCCTCACGGGAGCCCCGGCTGCCCCATCTCCTCACCCCACTCCGTTCCACTCTGCTTCGCTCTGCGTCCTCACCCGACCCCAACACGATCCACACCCTGTGCCCAGGGGTCGTCTTCCCGGTCCTGCTACCAACTGTAGGAGCAGGTGACACCATGGGAGCCCTCTCTCCCTCACCGATGCCTCCACCCAGCTTCTCCTCCGCCAGGAGCACCACCCCGGGATGGCACACCTGGCCGCCCTCGCCGGCCGGTCCTCCCGTCCTTCTCTGGCCTCGTTCCCAACCTTCTCTTCCAGAGTCTCCTTCCCCGAACCGCCTTCTTGCTCAGCCAGCAGGTCCTATGGGCACGTCCCCAGTGGTCTTGGGTCTCTTCCTCCCCATCAGTCGGGGTCACATCCACCCCATTCCTCCCCTGATCCAGCTCTAGCCAGTCCCTCCCCCCAGCAACCACATTGGATGGCTCACCGGAAACCCCCAGCCTGGGACCAGTCTTCAGACACCCCAAGCTTTCCCTTCCCCTCTGCCCGCTGCCCGGGAACCCCACCTCCCCCCGGGATCTGCCCGCACCCCAGGTTGGGGGCTCGTATGATTCGCAGCCTTGCCCACCGTCACAGAGGATCGTTGCCGTCTGTCTGTCCCTGCAGCTGAGCCATGGTGAGAGGGGGCTCCCCGCCGTCCCCATGCGCCCTACAAGCGCCCACTGGGTGGCTGGGGGCAACAGCAGACCGAAGGCTCCTGCAGGGTCTCCGCAGCCTCAGGTGTAAAGACAAGGAGGGACAAGTGGGTATAAGTGCCCGTAGAGGTGTTGAACGCTGACAGAACAGAGCCGGGGAAAGACGGGGCGAGGGTCGCGCGCTCTGAAGAGCTCTGCCGCACCAGTAAGGGAAAGCCAGCACTTGAGTAGGAAAGTCAGGACATGTGTGTCACCTGGGCAATGGGCCACTAGCCCGCGACAGAGGCTAATCAGCCTCACTTCCAGTCAAGGAAGTTCCGGGCCAAAGGCTGTTTTTACCTGTCTTTACCGAATCGGCATGGGCTTCCGGTGCCCAGCAGCTCTCAATCCGGTGTCTAATAAAACCGCCAGGGGTCCGTTTCGTGTTGTCCTTTCCTGTGAATTAAGAAATTGAGGTTCAGACAAGGAAGTCATTTGCCCGAGTTCACGTAACCGGAGAAGACACAGCAAGCCCTCGTGTCAAAGCCACGGTGTTTTATTTAGTTCTAAGAAGAGATGAGGAGTGCAGTGATAGATGATGATGATGATGATAATCTAGTTTCAATGTAGTTTAAAAGGATTTGTTCTGATACTTTCAACAGGGCACATGTTTTAGCTGTTGAGGAAAAACTCAGAAGTGCGGAGAAAGCAGCACCTGCCGCGGGTGAAGGACGGCGTGAAGCCGGGCAGGTGTGAGCCCGCTCGGCCGGCTCCAGGGCCTGGCACGTGGCACGGGGCTCCTCGGTGACCCGTCCTCTTCCTCTTCCTCAGGTGCTGCTGAGCCAGGTGCACCGGCTGAGAGCCCTGGACCTGCTGGGACGCTTCCTGGACCTGGGACCCTGGGCGGTGAGCCTGGTACGTGCGGGGCCGGCAGGACTCCCAGGTGTGGGCGGGGGACAAGCCTCACTGCCTGGGAGTGACCTGTCACCGGAGGGGGCCTGTGTAGGGGGCAGGCCCTCGAGGAGCACGCGCCGTGCGGCCTCTGTCCCCGCAGCGTTCCGGGCTTCACACGTGCTCTGCCCTCTCTTCCCGCCATGAGGCTTCACCTCTGTGGACAGAAAGTGGTTCACCCCTGCTCACCCCTGCCTGAGCCGAGAAGCGGGGTGCCCCTGTACCGGCCGAGTGCCGAGCACACACCCGTGCACCGACTTTACACTCTGGGGCTCAGCACACCCAGAAACACTTTGCTGCTGACTCATTCTGCGAAAGAGTGGGACCAGCCATTTATTTATTTATTTATTTATTTATTTATTTATTTATTTAAGATTTTATTTATTTATTTGACAGAGAGATCACAAGCAGGCAGAGAGGCAGGCAGAGAGAGAGGAGGAAGCAGGCTCCCCTAGAGAGCAGAGAGCCCGATGCGGGGCTCGATCCCAGCACTCTGAGATCATGACCTGAGCCGAAGGCAGCGGCTTAACCCACTGAGCCACCCAGGCGCCCCGGGACCAGCCATTTAAAGCGGAAAACACGGACAGAACTAGGGTCAGACAGAGACCCATTTTCCAACAACTATATCACCAGGAAAGGAGATATCGATGGGGAACCTCCGGGGGGCAGGGGGGTCCGGGAGACCCTCCACCAGCTGCAGCGTAGGGACCTTTCCAGTTCTGTGCGCAAATTAACGTTTGAAAGTTGAAGTTTGAGAAATTAACATTCATGAAACAATTAGAAATTTTACATTAACCAAATACCTTGTCATTAAAGGGTAATAGTTTATTTTTTTAGGTATAATGGCACGTGGTTCTTTTACAAAAGACACCTTAGTTTTTAGAGGTGAAGACTGTGTTTACACAGGGAAAGCGTGTGACATGCACGATGTCTGCAGATGTGCTGGGAAGACACGGCTAGCACGCCGGCGCCCGGCCATTGGGTTCATGTCACCAAAGCGGAGTGACGCACGAGTGGGAGGGTAGCCTGTTGTTTTAGCTTCGTTTGTGCACATTTGAGTTTTTCATTATATAACGTCATCAGAGAATCGAGAGTCCAAGGTTAAAAGAGGAAAAGTCTAAGAATCAGGAGGAATCGTTCACCCACCGTTGGACAGTTCACACTCGGGGCGCCTGGGCCGCAGACGACATAGAGTGCGTTCATCACTGGGGAGGGTCTCAATCTGCGTGGCCTGCGCACGTGCTCGTGCAAATCAGTGTCGCTCTGTCACCAGGGACGAGCTCACAGTGTGTCGCTTATGCCCTTCAGGAAGACAGGGAGACAAGTACTAATAACATTTTAGAGAGATTTTTATTATATGGTGAATTTTTAAAAAATGAATTTTGGCCCTTTAAGGAGGAAAGGTTAGGCCAGCTGGAAATCTTGATGGCGCAGGTGCTAGACAGACGAGGCCCTGCAGCAGGTGTGGGCTAGACCCACCTGCCCGAACCACACATAGGACGCTTGTCTCTTCAACACGGCCTTTAACAAGAAATGGACACGGGCCCCGCCAGTGGCCTCCAGCCTGGGTCACACCCCTCCACCCCCCTGGTAGGGGGACACCCTTGCCATCTCTCTGGAATGCCAACAAACTGGAGATAAGGACAGAGCACCTGCGCTGAGGTGACCGGCATAACCGGGCTCAGCTCAGTTGTCCTTGTGAGGTGGCCACCCTCCCGGTGACCGCCCTGCCTGAGAGCAGAGAGGACCCCCGGGATGATGCTGCCCCGAGAGTCTGGGCAGCACGGATGCCCACAGCGGCTCCCCGCCTCAACCAGCAAACTGTCCCACCTTGAGGCTCAAGTCCTGCCCTGAAGGTCGATGTCAAGGGCAGATGTGAAAGTGGGAGCCAACAGGGCAGGAGCGTTGTGGTTTGAAATGTAAGAATCACAGTTAAGGGCCCTCTGCTTTGCCACCGAGCGCAAATAAGGCTGTGCGAGGGTGAGGCCGGGGGGGGCCCGATGGGAAGCCAGGTGTTCCTCTTGAGATGAACCGTGGCCTCTGGACCAGGCGGGGCTGGAAACACACCGAGGTGTCTCGGGGAACGGAGATGCGGAGATCCAGAGGTGGCCCCTGTGCTCCCACTCCCCGCCCCCCGGGCTGACGGCAGTGCCGCACTGTGTCCCGGGCCACGCCAGCCACCACCACTGCGGCTCAGGCCCCCCACGAGTGGGCACACTCACGCTCTTTCCTTCCCCCAGGCTTTGTCCGTGGGCATCTTCCCGTACGTGCTGAAACTGCTCCAGAGCTCAGCCAGAGAGCTGCGGCCCCTTCTGGTGTTCATCTGGGCCAAGATCCTTGCTGTGGACAGCGTGAGTAGTCCGCGTCCTCCCCGCTGGTGCCAGGCAGTCCCCGTGTGTTCGCCGGCCCGGGGGCTCACGGAGGTGCCGCGTGCGGCTGGTTTGCCCACCTTGACGCTATGTCCTCTCTCTCCCTGCGACCACCCCGTATTTCTTACCCTACCTTCACCCTAGCATCTGCCTCTGGTGCCATTGCTGTCCCCCACCCCTTCTCCAGGCACTGCTGGTCCCCCTCCTTCCAGAATAAGGGAGGTTCATCCCTCTGGGGCCCAGTCCTGGTCCCTAAAGCTACACACTGCCTCCTCCCCATCCCCTCCAGGACTCCAGCAGGAAATGACCCCGACCCCCTCCTTCTTGAACTCAGCCCTGCCTCCCTGGACACCCACCAGGCCCTCTGTCTCCAGCCTCTGCTCCTCCCACCCCTTCCCTGACCCTGGGGACAGTCTCCTGCAGCTCTGCTCTCCAGTAGCCATCCCCCTCCTTGTCCTCGTGCCTGTGGGGCTGCAGTCACGCCCGTACTCCACCAAGAGCTGGGCAGGACCAGGCTAAAGGCTGTAGGGGACGCAGACGGCGGTGGTCTCTGCTTGGACAGGCTTACGTCCCGTAGGTCAAAGTCCTCTGCTGCAGGGGAAGCCACCACGCCATGGGAGACTGTGCCGTGAGGGTGGGGGCCCTGAGAACTCAGTGCGAGGGGCACTGATGGGTGGAGATGGGGGACAGCTTGTGCGGGGGACGGGGAGGGCAGGTGGTCCCCCTGGGCTGGGGTGCTGGGGGCATGTGCGAGGAGCCCTCGAAGTGGACAGTGTCCCACTTCCTTTAGCCCATCAAGAGGGACCAGTAAAGATTCAGGAACAAAGACACAGCAAGATCCAAACTGTGGCTTTTAAATGTCTGGCCTCGGTCTAAAGGAGACTGGGTCAGCTGAGAGGGGGCCACTGGGGAGGAGGGGCAGACGTGATGAGTGACTGTTCGGGAGACCCCGGGTGAGGCGGACCCGTGCCTGAGGAGTGGAGGCAGGAACCTCTTATGCCCTGTGACCCTGCCACCGAGCCCGCACAACCACCCCAATGGGGAGTGGAGAACAAAGAGCTACAAAAGGAGAGTGAAGGGGGTTCCCGGGGCTGGAGGTCTGACTCAGAACACAGAGGGGCCTCCAGAGTGAGGCTGGGTGCTGGGCGGGGAACTGAGACCCCCAGAAGAGGCCATCACACGGGGCGGTCAGCTTCCGAAGAACCGTGGACACAGAGATGAGGAGAAAGTGCCGATGGCCAGAGGGTCGGTTGCCTGAAGGGTTCCATGGGCAGGGAGGGGACTGGGATCCTACCCTGTCACCCTCCCTGGGCTGGCCCCCTCCCCGGCCACACCCAGTGGGAGGCTGGGTCTGGGCATGGCCAGGCAGCCCTCGTGCTCCCACCTCAGTCCTGCGTGCTGCTCTCTGCTCACTACACCCTCTGCTGTCCCGAGAATGAACGCCTGCCACTCCAGGCTGCCGTGGGACCCACGCACTGGGACGCTGTGGCCACCTGCACACCCGAGGCAGCCAGCACTCTGCCATGAGGCCCAAAGCTGGGGTGACAGCTGCAGGGGATGAGAGTGTCGCGGGTGCTCCCAGCGAACGTGTCACAGCACAGGCACCTCCAGGTGCACCCCCAGTCGCACCGCGCGGTCATCACTGTTTTTGTGTACTGATCTCGAGTGGCGGCCTTGCTGAATCTTGGAGTCCGGCCGTGGACGGTAGGTTCTCTCGGCCTCTCTGCACAGGTGGTCATACTCTCTGTGAGCAAGGCCAGTGAGACGGCTCTGTCCCTGTCTGCTGGGGACGTTTCCTGGTCCAGGACCAGGACCCGCGCATGCAGTTGGTCAAACACAGTGATCCACTCCCCGTGGACGGGCTTGGTCTCCGTGGTCTTCTTGGTGGCGTGAACGCCCTCCCTCCCTGTCGGGGCCTCCCAGCCTCACCTCGACTCCCGTTCCGCCCTGACCCTTCTTGGGCCAGCGCCCTGCACACGCTGTGTCCGCAGAATGTTCTGTCGCTCGTCAGCTTCACAGCGATGTTCGGGACATCGTATGTTCTGACAAAATACTTACTTTTCTGCCCACTGAGCTGACTTCAGATAAGCGACGGCCTCAAAGATGGACCAAAACACTAGATTTCAGAGCTAAAACGAGTCTGAGTCCCCTTGCCCTCGTTTACCTGAGCAAGCTCCCACTTCCCGTCGCATGGCCCTCTGTACGCTTGTCGCCGCCGAGCTCCCAGCAGCGGGGACGGAGGTGAGCGCCGTGACCACCCGTGAAGCCGCCCTGGAAATTTTAGAATAAAAGGAATAAAAGCCTGAGTCTCGCATCTGCCCGGCTAGTGTCGGGTCCAGGAAACCTTTTCTCGCTGGTCCAGGAGCTGGTTGTCCCGGGTGGGGAGGCTGCCCCCTCTGTCATTTCGGTTCTGCCCTTCGCGTTTTCGCCGACGCGCCGAGCCGTGCGAACAGAAGGCTCTTCCGGGGAGTCACTCGGAAGCTCGCTCTCCTTCAGCGCCTCGGTCTTCTGGACGCTTGGAAATGTATCGCTACCGGTACTCGGTTCTTGGGTGCATGGAGGCCCCCTCAGGCCGAAGCCCGCGGAAGGAGGGGACGGAGGAGGGTGCCCCCGAGCCCACCTCCCCGCCCCGGGGCCGCCACGTTCTTGTCCTCACAGGATGTTGAGGACCTTTGAGGACCCGGCACTAGACCGTGTTTCCTTCCAGTCCTGGGGGTCTGTTCCGGCCTCAGCGTGAGCCTTTCTGAGCCGCCCCTCGCCGCCGCGCTCCCATGCGATCTGCAGCGGTCACCCGACTTGGGTGTTAGGAACCTGGAAACCAGCTCCCGGGCCCGCCTGTGTCCAGGGTCTGCTCGTCCAGCGCCCAGAGGCGAGCTCTCAGCCGCGGGCACACTGGCTGCCGCGGCCTCGTTCCGCGACGGTGCGGGCGCCTCAGGGCCGCGTGCTTCCCGTGGGCTCGGCGCCGAAGGGTTTACGCGTTCAGTCACGCTTGAGCAGCTGTCCCCGTGGCCAGCAGGAAATGCCCTCACCCGCGGCGTTCTTGCCAGTGCCTGCAGGTGCCAGGGACCTTTCCGTGAGCTCATCTCAGCCGGCTCGCCGCACCTGCCTGTTTGAAGGTGACCGTCCCTCTGAGAGACACGTCGACGGGCTTGCGACTGAGGCTGAGGCCGTTTACCTCATCCCTCCCTTTCACGGCTACTCGGGTGGTTTTCCAGAGACTAAAGTTCCGTGTGCTTCCGGGGACGGGTCCCCTCCCTCCTTCACGTCCGAAGTCACGCTGGGTCCCCGCTGGCCTCTGTGGGCGCTTGTGCTGCGTGCAGAGCCCCCGTGTCGCTGGCGCGGCCACCACGGGGTCAGAGCACACGGTGTTTCCACGCAGGGACGCCCACACTTCAGATCAAAGCCTGCACGGAGTGCACCCTGAGGTCTGCAGTGCCCGGGTTCTGTCCCCCGCACCGGGCCCCGCCTTCCCCTCAGGGCACTTCCCCGGGGCTTGAGAGTGGGGCCGGCCCATCAGGCAGGGCCCTAGCTGGGGGCGAATCCAGGGCCCCCTCTTGAGCCATGGGCATGTCTAGAGTACACTGTGCCACCTTGAAGGCCTCGGAGAGAGGCAGGAATCCGTCTGGCCTCCTGTGGGGACAGTGGTGGGACAGAAGGCACGACTTGGGATGAGGAGAGCCCTTCCTGTTGTTCCCCGAGGAATCGGGTCCCAGAAGGGTCTCTTCCCAGGTCACCTGTGTGCCTGGTTACCCTGAACCCCCCACTGCCAAGCAGAACGGCCAGGCATGTGACACAGCGGGAAGGTGTGACCTGCATCAAGGAGGAAAACCCCCGAACCCACTGTGCGTCCTCACAGAGGTTAGGGTTAGCCAACAAGGACACGGAAACGGTTGCTCGAAGTCTCCACGGAAGACGTTCCACCGAGACACGGAAGGCATCCAGGGCTCTGCTGAACCTTCTGGAGAGGGAAGCCAGAGTGTGACCCGGAAGACAGGCCGGTCGGGATCGACCCCTAAACGTCGCGGCAGGACATTCGCCGTCGCAGCTGCCCCGAGCACAGTGAGGACGGACCTTGTGCAAAGCGAAGGGGCGTCACTGAGCCGTGGGACAGCTGTGGGTGACAGCGTAAGTCTGTCAGAACCGCTGCAGGGCAGCAGAAGTGTTCGACGACCTGGTGGCCAAGAAATGGCCACATTTTCCAGTTTGATGAAAACAACGAACCACAGACCCAGGAAGCCCCGCGAACCCCACACGCAGGAACATGAAGAAAACCACCCCGAGTCCTCACCTAATTGCTGAAACAGGATACATTTAAGGACTCGGAAGCAGCCAGTAGAGGAGAACAGAGGAGCCAGGAGAAGGAAGACGGCGGGTCCTTAGCCAGGAACGACGCCAGGAGGGGACGGTGGGCGGGCGCCCTGACGACCCCGAAGAGAAGCCGCCGTCTGGCCTGCTGTGGCCACTGAGTATCCCTGAAAGTGGAGTCGGAATAAGGACGTCGTCGGGCGCGCGACACTGAAGGGACATAGCACGGGTAACCGCCGCATGCTGCGGGGTCGGCAACGTGTGTGATCACAGCAGCGAAACGGGGGGGGGGGGTGTCAGCTTCTGAGACTTCACGCGCAGTCGGGGCCCCCAGAGGACGGAGGGAGGCGGAGGGTCCGCACAGCAGCCAGAGTCGACGCGCTGAGACCATACCACGCTCTGCAGCCACCGTCCGACAATGAGCAGTGAGCAGCAGGAGAACTTCCAGATGCTTGGAGACCAGCCAGCACTCTTTTAAAGAAATCGTTTGAAATGATTAAATTATAAAATAAAATTTTAATAAGTAACATAACTACAAAATATATAGAACATTTAATATTGAAATATGTGTGTTGTATGAATAAATTATGCAAGTAGCGCAAATATTTATGGAATATAATATGCATAGTTATAAATATTTATAAAATACACAAGTGGGACGACATCAAACTAAAAGC